GACTCAATGATTTGGCCATAGACGGCTTTATATGTTTTTTCTACATACCTCAAGGTACCAGGCACAGCTCATGAATGCTGAGATGGTGGGGTGGATGGAGCATCCCATGGGAGCGCAGGGGGTCCCCTATGTGCTCGGCAGCAGACCTGGAAGTGGACCAGAAGCACTTCTGGTCCACTTCCAGGTCCACCACGAAGCACGCAGGGGACCTCACCCATTCCCCAGGTTGGCAACTGGTGCCTCCTGGGTCTGGGGGGACACCCGGGGTCCCCCCAAAGCCGATTGCCAAGCTGGGAGGGCATGGGGGTGGGGGGGGCCCGCCACCAAGCATGCAGGGGGCCATTCCATTCTCCTGTGGGATGCTCCATCTGCCCCACCATCGCGCCCCCCCCCCCCCCGCACCGTGGCGTGGGGGGGGAGCCACTCCTGGTACCTCAAGGTATGTAGAAAAAACATATAAAGTAGGGCTGTGCGAAACAGCACCGTTTCATTTCAACTTCCGTTTCGCCATTTTGAAGGGACAGTTTCATTTCACTGTTTTGAAGCATTGTTTAGTTTTGTTTCATTGAAACAATTTTGCTTTTTCCTTGCGTTTCAATGCATTTTGACGTTTCGCCCAGAAGCTATAATGGGGAATCATGAAAGTGCCTATAACTTTGTCATTTCTTTCCTGATTTGAATGAAAACATCAGGGATGGTAGCCCCTGCTGAAGCCATGAAGCCTGCTGGGTTTCAAGGAGATAGGTGCAAGGGTTTCTGGGAAACTGCACCTCAAAGTGCTGACAAGCAAAACTTGTGTCATGCGTGTGTGTTAAGGTGCAACGGGGTGAAAACAGCAGGCATGGTAGCCCTTGCTGAAGCCATGAAGCCTGCTGGGTTTCAAGGAGATAGGTGCATAGGTGCTGATGCTGCTGAAAGACAGCTCAGTAAGCTGACCCCAAGGTACAGAGAAAGCTCAGTTCAAACAATGCTTTTTATGCAGTTTTTTCCATCCCTCCCCCAGAGCACCAGGATTGGAAGAGACCTCAGGGAAGGATCAGTCACTGGCCAGCTACACGTGTAAATATTGGATCAGTCCTTCTCCCTCTCTCCCTAGTTTCTGTTCAGCTGCAAGCAAGCCTGGGTTTCAAAACTCAAAACATTTCAAAACTTTTGAAACATTTTGAGTGCCCTCATTTCGTTTCAAAGCTGTTTCAAAGCCTTTCATTTCATTTCGATTTCGCTATTTCGAGCTCCAGACGCATGGAAACAGCTTCAAAACGAAACACCCATTGAAATCTCACATCGCGCTAATATAAAGCTGTGTCTATGGTCGAATTGCTGATTCTCCAAATCAGAATTGAATCTTCAGATTTGGATTTGGCCGAATCGAATTGGGACAGTGATCTGAACCAGCAAATCAAATCACTGCCCCCTGAACTAGGCCGAATCTGAATCGAATATGGACCGCTTTGCACACTCCTAAAAGCTTGTACATTAGGTACTAGGAATCCTTTTTCTCCTAGATCTTTGGTGAGGTCTCATCAGGCATGTATCAAGACTGGGTATCCTCTTTCTGCAGCTTGTATTAACTCCTGCGAGGGCTACTGCAAGCAATGAAAGCTAGTTCAAGGAGGTGCTAACTTGGCATCAGGGTGCAAAAAAAGCACGGCCTGTCTCTCCATAGGAGCCATGCAGAGAGCTGCAAACAATGTGGTGGTGCAAGGCCTCCTTTCAGATACCCCTGACCTCCATGCAGATCTCACAGGATCTGCTGGCTTTTACAACAGTCTCCTGCTTCCACCAGCAGCAATGTTCGCCAGAAGCAACACTTGCCAGCAGAATTCAGAAGTATCCTGGGAGGAAAATCTTGAGGTATTGCCTGCCCCTCCATGTTTTTTTCTGGCAAGCCCCAGTGCCTTAGGGATTCTTTATTTAGCTTTTAAACAGATGCAATTAGGCTGCAACATAAGTCCTATCAAACCACCTCACCCACCTAGCAAAAAAAATCCCCCCAACAGTGCCACAAGGGGACACCCTAACAACATACATTACTCAAGCACTACTAAACGTGTCTGTCAGTCTCGCTGAACTTGTGATTTTCATCTGGAGTTCTTCACTTGAAACACCGATGTGTTACTGCACACATGCTAATCAAGCTCTGTTTTTAAGGCTAGGGACAGAAGTTACACATAAACCAGTTTAAGTCATCAGAATTTGGCTTAAACCTGTAACAGAACAGAAGCTCAATGCACATAAACAAGTTTCAAAATGGTTGAAACTGGTTTAAAGATAAACTTGGTTGAATGTAGTATCAGACTTAACTGATTTGGGTCAAACTGGTTTATGAAACTTCTGTCCCAGACCCCTTCCTGGTTCAGGTTAAATCACTCCCTCAACATCCCAGCATGCTTTCCAGCCCGGGGTTGGCTGTGCTGTCTGCTCCAGCAGAGAAGGGTTGAGGGGGGAGGGGGAAGAGGCAGGAACTGCCCCACCTCCCCCGGCAAACCCTGGCTGGGGTCTGGGGCTAGGGAGGGGGTTTAAACTTCCCTTCCCTCAAATACAGAGTTGCCCTGCCCTGCTAAAAACTTACTGCTGGCTGCAACAAATCCTAGAGGAACCTGGAAGCAGGAAGAGGAAGTGATGAGCAACCCTGCAGAGTCCTGCTGCTGTGATTCTGGACTGCAAATCCCATAGAGCTTGGGGGCAGCAGGAAGAGGAAGCAAACATACAGCTCATGTTGGTTTCGTGCCAGATAGCCATGCTGTAGTGCCCCCCAGCTTCTGCCCTGAGCTACTGCAGGCATGAGGCTGCATTTCCTGAATTAAAACTGAATGTCTGTCCAGTTGGTTCTCAGTTTAACCTCTACTGCTTAGACTGACCTGCAAAGACTGAATCGATTCAGCCTTAGGCTTTTTGACTGTCTGTACTTAGCCTAAAAGGTTAATTAAAACAAACCTTTCATTATTATTTATCATAAAACTATTTCTTTTCTTTCCATAGACAGGCTTGGTTTACTTGTTGTTATTAAATAAAAACCACCACCACTGAGGGCTTACACATAAAATATAATTGTAAATGGAGTATTTTCATATTCTCAGATGTTAATGCCTGCATTGTATTTTATAGGTCAACAAGAATAGCAGTTCAGAAATAGGAATTTACATACTGGCAATGGAACCAGAAACCTCTATTTAAGTATGATATAGTGATTAAGAAAAAGGGCGTCATTTTGTCAGACAGTTTTTCATACTGAACACCAGTGCTGTTAATGGGACTGCACGCATGCTTTAAATTAATCACATGCGTCAGCATTTGCAATACTGGGACCTTAAGCAGTTAAAGAATGCCAAATATCTGTTCATATGCCTCCTCTTCTATATACTCTCCCACCCTTTTTTAACGAAGTAATATCAGATAGATTTGCCTTTTCTTTATGTTATAAAAAACCTGAATGTTATCCTCCTAAAATGAATTGAGAGTTAAGCAAGGTATAAATCCTAGGAAAGTTGATAGACTTGGTGACAGCGATAACTTTGTATAACCCTATACCATTCAAAACATGCAGATGTATGCACAGTTATGAATGTGAAACATAAAAGTCTGACAATTCTAAAGTATACTATAAAGACCTGTTCCCAAAGGGTCTTTGTAAAGTATCATGAACTTAAAACGAATATTTGGCAAGAAACAGAGTTTTTACTCCAACAGAACTATTTTAATAACCTCTCAAAAGAATCCGCCTATTGATTATTAATTACAATTGTAGACTTTTAATGACAAATTGCTTTGGTAGATCAGGCTATTTCCGGTTGGGCTCTGACGGAGGCCTTGGTATTGACCTGTGGCGCTTCAAGGAACGACAGAAAGAATGCTGGGTAGTTGTTTTCCCTCTTCATGCTGGGGTGAACAGTGCAGGGAAACTTTGGGAGATTCATACATTTCCCTTGAAATAGAAGGCTTCACAGCACATATTAATAAATGTTTAGTTAAGATGTTTTCATATGTTTGAGTTACCATCATATGGGGAAAGTTAATTTTAAAATAAACATTCACTAATATGAACCAGGAAGTTTGACCTTTCCAGACAGGCATTTGTACCAGTGAATTTTTTCCAATGGCACAGACACATCTGGGGTAGGTACAGAATACCATTCACACTACACAGCTCAGCATAAGAACTTTTCCAAGCTATTTCTTGCAGAGTATTATTTGCTGTTCTTCCTTCCCCTAATTACTGGACCCCACAGAGATTCCTTAGCTGCTTTTGTGCTTGAGGCACAGTTTTACTGTTCGTGCTTCAGCTGTATCATTTGAGGGTTAACACAACATGCAGTGGTTTCCTGAGGAAACAAAGATGCAGAGATAGATGAAGACCATCAACGGTTGGTCTGTAGCAGCAGATTGATTCTTACCGAGTACCTAAGTCTATATCACCAGTCATCACTTCTAAATCATAAGTCTATATCACCAATAAACAAGGATTGACATAACTTGAGGGCTGACTGCCCAAGACAGTGACAAAGTGATCCAGGCCTAGTAAATCTGACTGGGGTGGATATAGAAGGAGTGTAGGCATGGAAAGGGCTGAGGATGCCAATTTTATAGCATCAGCATACCCTCCTCCTCCGGTGGCACTCAGAAGGTATAAGGAGCATGAGCACAAGCAGTATGAGGAGGTGTGGGAAGACCTAGGTATGGGGCAAGAAATGAGTGGCCTTGTACAATACCCTTGGCTGACTTCAAACATGCTAAGCACAAAACCAGTCTAGAGCTAATGCAACCCAAAGTAGCCTTCGCTATGACTTGGGCCCTCTCCTCTGTATCATTTTTTGTGCCGCCCTGGGAGCTCTCTGGCCCCTCTTCTTGTGCAGGGAAGAGCACAGGATAAGATGGCTATATGAAAGCTGGAATCACGAAAGAAGCCAAAGAAAAGGTGAAAAAGGTAAAAGACATTTCATGAACTGTTGAAAGGCATTGATTTAAAAAAAAAAAAAAAAAATGAAGGCTTCTGAGGGAGACTGATTTTAATGACAAAAAAGAGCTGGGCACAAGGCAGAGTAGATTGGCACATTACAGACCAATTAAATCAGAGATGTACACCATAAGCTTTTGTAAGTTTACTTCATCAGATGCTGTGTTAAAAAGAGTTAACCATGTTTCATTCCTCAAGTGCTTTCACAAACACAGATATAACAGTTAAGTAACTAGCCCAAAATTGGAAAGAAATTAAGTACCAGAAAGAGATGAAAACTCATGGTTTCAGACTCCCATGTTTACATCCGAGTCATTTAAGGGTAAAATATGGTGTTGTTTTAGAAGCTACTGATCTTTGGAGACCCCATAATAGTTAGGTTCTCTAGTAATTTATAGCCCTGGAAAGACATTAAAGGAGACTTCAAGTGACTACCAAATTGCAGTGAAAGCCTGAGGTTATTAGACACTATATAAAATGACAGAATATTTAGTTTAGAAGCACCATTTTTAGACATTTTACTACCTACAAATGTATTACGTCTTTCCCTGAATGAGTGTTGTTTGACTCGGTGCCTGTTGTTTAGCTCTACACAAGTAACCTCTAGACTCATTAATTTGTAGAGTCTTTAAAAAGGACAAATAAAAACAAAGAAGCAGAGGAAAATCTATGGTTTCGTATCAAACCAAGAGACAGTTTATCTGGCACATGCAAGTAAGTCCAAAAAGTGCATTTAAAATAAGTTTGAAAGTTAAATTATGTAGTAAGTAGAGGAGGGTCTGAGTAAGAAACCTTAAAACTTCTTTCCCATAGAATGGGCAATTAAAGAGGGAAATCGTTACTGAGTTTACATAACTTGACTTAAAAACAAACAGCCCTGCTAGGCAACAAGCCCACAGTTCTGCATTACTAATATACACAGCAAACATCAAGGCTCACGATAACTTGTCACTTTTTGATGGATGGTGGAAGATTCCATTCTTGATGTAGAAAGTATCCCTTACAATTCTAGACTTGGCATGCGCTGGAGCCTTGCCTTCTGTAAGGACGCCTCCTGAAAAATAAGAGTATGTGATTATCTTAATACATTAAACAGTCTGATAGTCACACTGATAACATAAATTTGCCTCTGCATACCAGGCCTAACCCTACATCATAAAGCTGAATATCGTTCACTCTCATGAAACCAGCACCTCAAAACCTGGGCTCAGCACCCCCCTTGCCTATTTTGTACAGAGCAGGTTACACATTAGTTGATTCCCCCAGCTTGTGACACTCACAATCTGGAATATTAATTAGGTAAAAGTGAGATGTGCCTCTGGATAGCCTGACTTTTGTGAGCTTCCAGAGAGGTACTTGCTACATGGGGTTTTTTGTTTTTTTTAATGTAGCAGGAAAGCATGGAGCATTCAGCCTGCAGGAGAAAACACCATACTGCACTGCAGCCCTAGGTAGATTGCCTCCTCCTCCCTTTATTGGCTGGGATCCTAGCCAGGAAGAGGAAGAGGCCCACACCCAGTACCCTTTCCCAAAGGCACATTAGCCTTTTTTTGGATATCAGGCACACCCTGAAATAACTGCTATTTTGCTACATTTTTCAGCAAAATTGAACAACTTTTTTTTTTTTTTTTTTAACTACAGGCAGTCCTCGACTTACAACGTTCTGAGTTACAACGTTTCGCACTTACAACTATATAAATTGACACCCTGTTTCAACTTTGATGTCAGTTTCGACTTTACAACGCTTGATCCAATGTGACGCCACGCCAGCAAACAAGTCTGCTTTGTCACCATCTCCCTGCAGAACATCTGTCCAAACTTCCTTGGACACTTTCTTTAAGAAAGCGGACAAGGCTCCACAAAAACCTGCAGCCACGACTCCTGAGAAGACTCCAGCCAAGAGCCCTTCAAAAAGTCCAGCAAAGTCACCTCAAAGAAGTCCTTCCAAATCAATGATTGCTATTTACAATATAAATACATTAATGTTGTTATATTACTCATCTATAATTGATTGAGTACAAAATTCTGGGGTATTTTTGGTGAAAGTAGGGTATCGGGCCTTGGTTCAGGAACCAATCCCTCATGTATAACATTTTTTCTTGTGAGAAAATTGGTTCTGAGTTGCAATGTTTCAACTTAAGAGGCGGTTTTCAGGAACCAATTGTGTCGTAAGTCCAAGGACTGCCTGTAAAGACACACGCCCCCCCACCCTCTCCCCCCGCCACTCCCCCCACAAAAAGCAGGCTAGGCACCGGGCAAATTAAATAGGCCATATGTAATAATTATGCCCTGGCACTATAAACATACACTATTCAACTAAGTTATCCCAAAGACACCAACAGGCCTGTTCACGAGACCAGAAGTTAAGCCCATGCATTGACACTAGTAAAACTGGAGCCATAGAGATGCACTATTAACTCCAGGGAAACAAAGTAAGGATTAACCCTTTTTACTTTTATGGCTGTAATCCGGGGGCACTAAACCAGCAGGGTAGGAAAGAGGAGAAAGAAACTGAACAACATTACTCCTGGTTGGATTTCCATCCAACACAATTACTCTACAAGCAACTCTCCACCTTACCTAAGCGCCAGCCATACTCCCAGGATGACAGCATTGGATAAGAGAATTTATCCTCTGGGCTCTTCTGCTTTCTCTCCTGCAGATACAGGTGCCTCCCTTTGCCCTCCCGGGATATGCCCTGGTACAGCAGACGCATTGTTCCTGGGGATGCAGGTCTCATCTCTGGAAGAAGGGGCTCCTGAACCCCCTCTTCCTGCTTCCTGGGAAGGCCAACATCCTTTGGCTGCCTCTCTTGATGGCTTATCCCATTTTTCTTGAAACCAGTTCCCTCCCCCTGATTCCTGAAGGGACTGGTCCCTTCCTCCTGCTGCCTGGGGGAGAAGATAGTCGGCAGAAAGCATTTCCTCTTGGGACCACTGCAGGGCTGGAGCCTGGGAAATTTGTGCCCGTATTTGGTGTTCCAGCCGACTCTACTGAATAACTCCTTCTCAATCAACTCCTTCCAGCGATCCTGGTCTCGTGTGGTCAGTAGATCCTTCATGATCCCAGGCAGAGGGCCCTGGAGCAGGAGGCTGGAGTCCGGCTGCAGTGTGTTGTGTTTGGTACTAGTTATTTCCTGCCTCTGGTGTCCAAGGAAACAGAGGCACAAAGGGGTCAGGGGAGCCTGGGCTCAAGTTACAGACACTTCACAGAGGAAACAGAGAAGGGTCCACACAAGAGTCTCCCCTGCAGACATGCATCTTCATCTCTCCCAAGCGCGCGCGCACCCCGCCAGCCTGTTGTTGCAAATGGTATTTAAAGAATCATTTAAAGTTTATTTTCTACCTATGGGGTCCTTTTACCATCTTTAAATTTTCCCCGAGCCTGAAGAAGGGAAAAAGCGTGCGTGCCCGAAAGCTTGCCAAAAAGGATTTTTTTTTTTTTTTTTTTTTGCGATTTCTGGTTGGTCTAATAACAGGGATCATCTCAGCACCAAGAGTTCTGGAGTTTTGCATTTGAAGAAGCAGGCCATTTAGTGCTTCCCAAAAGCGGAAAATCCCTCTGAGAAGAGCTGCAATCTGAAGCCAGCCAACAGGTGGACCTAGTTACCCTGTAACTGGCTGCCTGTGATTGCAGGACTTGCAAATCTCCATAGCTGCAGCAATAGTCAACTTCCCTCTCCCTTATAACCCACCTTATTTGAAGGGACTGGAGTTTAGGTATAGGATAACTCGGAAGATATTAGTAACTTGCACTTTAGGTATGGAAACACAAAGGGAAAGACTCTGGCCCTACTGACTTCACCAGCAAAATTGCCTTTGATTTCAACAGTAGTGCCAGCTTTGCCTAAGTACATACAAGCTCTCAAAGGCTGAGTGAAAAAGCTGATTTCTTTGCTTTTAAATTTGTTCTCAGTTGGAACCAGTCCAGATGCTCTGAGCAAAAGTCAATTAGGTTTCCCTCCCACCCCCAATTTCCTGGCAAGTACATGATCGGGCCCTTCAAAGCTGCACTGGGTGTTAGTTGTGTTCTGCTAACAAAATGAGGGCAAGTTTTGACTGATTCTGGTTTTGTCATAGTTTCAAGCAGCTGAAGTACTAGAGCAGGACACGTTGGTTACAGTAACTGCCACAGGCCTGGCTCAGGTCCAAGGGGAAGACAAGTAAAAGGAGACATCCTTGACAACCAACTAATATTTTCCTTGTCAATGACAGTACTACGCAACACTCTGGCTACGTCTTTTATTTTAAAATAATTTCTGACAAAAGACAACCTGGATACGGAAAACAGGCTCCAGTAAAACCGTATTGCAAAATTAAGAGCTCCTGCAATGCAGGTCAGCAGCATCAAAAAGAGGAGGGAGAATGGATGGAAAAATAAAACGGTGGAACTCGTGGAGGAGGAACGTTTCTCCTTTTGTATTTAAAGTATTGCGAGGCAGCAGCCACACACACACAATGAAAAGGAAAATTTGGGCCCCTGGAATTCAGCCACAAATTAAGTTTCAAATTCCAAATCTCCTCCCCAGTTTCAAGAATTTCATAGTAAACTAGAATCAAAAGGGAGGGGTGTCTTAAATAACAAATTCATGAAACACTGAATTGTCTTTTGAAACTGTTTTGCCTAAAAGCACAGCAGAGAGTATAATACTGCTTTTGTATGCAGCATAAAAGAAACACCCACCACAAATGTTGGACCTTTGCATCTTATAAGAAAACACTTTATAGTTAGACCTTTAACCAGCTACCTCCTACAACCAACATGAGACTGTTTCCACATCCATTAGGTCCTATACAATAAAACAAGAGAAAAAAAAATGTCCGTTTGTTTTTGTTGGGCAGTGCTGTCATCAATTTAAAATATACAGCATATGCAGACTCTCCCATAAAAATTGCCTCGTCTCTCCCCAACACGGACCACCAAGATCTTGCTTCTGAGGAGGATAATTCAGTAGATGAATAAATGCTTTCACAGTTGCAAAAGGCCAAGATTTTTTAAACTAGCCTTTTGTATATTTTTTTCAAATGTTTGCAATGGTTGAACTCCCGCAAAGATAAACGTTGAAAGACGGATGTGAATAAAATGTGAAATGCCTTTTAGATTTATAGTCAACAGCACCCAATCAAGCAGACTTAAAATCCTTGCTTTAAACACTTAAGTTTTGCAGTTCAATCTGTTTTGCCTGCCCAGAAATAGGTGCATCAGTTTTCAGTGAAATTTGCTAATTTGAGTCACTTGACTACAAGAGAGACTGCCAGTTTTAATCAGTATAACAAGGTTGATACATACTTAAAGTAACAGCCAGTGTCAAAGGAAACAGTTGTACAGCAACAATCATTAGTATTACTTTAAAATGATTATTCATTTTAAGACTCACCTCTGCAATTGACTGTTGGCAGACTTCTATGCCTAAATTGGACTTCATTACTTTCTTAAGGGGCACAGGGATTACCCGCACATCAAATGTCAAGGTGGGGGTCTGGCTAATTATGTATTTATCACTTACTAGCCTATTCATTTAGAAGACTGTATTTGTTCTTTCCCCCTGGTGGTTTAAATTAAGCAAGGGCACTTTGCTTTAATTGGTTTGTCCTGTAAATAAGACTGCTGTACAAGGTAAGGTACTGTCTGTACAGTGCTGGTATTACCATTGTTCTGTGAAATGTCCAATGGAATAACAACCTAAGTACTATTTTTAGCTGTGTTTCATTTTAAATCCATTTTTCTATCCTTCCAAATTTTAAAGTAGTGGTAAATTGTTTACAAGCAAAGTCTTTAACTCTCAGTACATAAAGAAGTGTGAAACCCACTGTAGAAGCACATGCCCCATGCTCGAGTCCATAAAGGATAAGCATATGCCCTGTGCCCACCCACCCCCACCAGTTCCCACAGAAGGACAAAGTACAAATCTAGTAGCTCACCACCACCACCACCACCTTCAGTTCCCTTGCAGTGCAAAACCACTGGCAGTGGAGGACTCCGTTAAATGGACAGGGAAAGCAGAGAGCAAGATCCAGACTGACTACAGTGTCTCAAAAGCCACTCTTCCTGCAGGGTACATAACTGTACTTTCTTCTTGAGTGTGTGCTAGCAGGGATCCCCTCTACCTGTAGCTAGCAAACATTCAAAGAGTGGTTTGTACATCCCAGGTGCATCAGGAGGATAAAACTGACATCCCAAAGAGAAGTAGATTAACTGACTAGTACAACTAACTAACCATGCTGCAGACTTCTGGGACATTCCAGTACTATGGTGTGGAAGAACAAAACAGGGCAATCTAAGTCAGTGATTTTCAATCTGTGGTCCACAGACCCCTGGAGGTCCAAAGACTTTGGCTAAGGGGGTCCATGAAATACGACTATGAGCAATCAAAAGTATGCAAATACTCACACTTACCATCCAAATGGGGTCTGCACCTCCATTCAAAATTTTTTAGGGGTCTGCAAATGAAAAAAGGTTGAAAGCCACTGACCTAGGTGGGTGGCAAGCAGAGATTGCTGCAAGGTGAACCACTAACCGAGTGAAAAGTGCATTGGTTTTAAATGTAACAAGTAGCTGAGATCCTTCAAGTAGAGGGCGTAGGCCAGGTCCAGACTGTTTCAGGTTCTCACACTGAGAATCTATTTCGCTGAGAGCATCTCCTCCTAGTCCAGGTTTTCCTGCTTAAGTCTACAGGAGTGGTCTCTACCCATGGTACATAGCTTGTTGACAGCCAGTCAGGGGCAGTGACTGGGTCTAGGAAAGATGGAATATCTGCTGTGCTACTGCAATATTAAATCCAAAACAGTCAGGAGATGGATCAGAAAATGGCTAATTAACCTACTTATGAAGTCCAAAATGGCCTAAGCTTGTCAGACGCAGTATAATGATCATGGCTGCCTCACAGTCGTAGAGATTACCCTAAGAATCAGAAGAAAGAGGGAAAGATGAAGCAACAAGGCCTTTTTTTGTGGCATGAGAATCATTCCTGAAAAAAGGGAAAGGAAAGGAAGTATGGGAGAACGAAAAATTAATTTAATTGATTCCTACTTTATCTGCACTATAGTTCCTCCTCACTGACAAAAGGAGCAAGAAAAATAGAGGGAGCGTGAGGAAAGAGGTACAGGCATGGTTTGGTCAGACATTGCTGCTCACGGAGTTCAGCAACCAGGGGGCCGTGCTCACACGCTGGCGCTCCTTGCTGCCGAACAAACGAGAACGCACAGAACGAGCTAGGAGATGGCTGCCTCGCCGCCCCACAAAAACACGTTGAGGTTTCTGATCATTTCTTGGATTAAGAGGGGGGCTTGTTTAAACAAAAAAAACAAACTCGGAAGTAACGACAACATCCAAGGCCATCACAGGCTTATCCAATAAGCCATTTGAATTAAATGTTGGTACCCACTGAGATTTGGAAGGCAAGTCCAGCATGTCTCTTCCTGAAGCACAAGCATCCATGTTTCTCTCGTGCTCTGTTGATTGTCCAGGAAACCAGGCTGCAGAAATGAGTGCAGCAGAGATCATGAGCACCCCGATTAGATGGTGGAGCTTGGGCCCTACTCTGCCGAGCTCAGTACAATCAGCCAGGAGCAGTCTGAACACCGGGAAGGTGGGGCTGTCACCCTGACCTCTATTATGGGGCAGTTTGGTGGAGAATCGATTCTCACATGCCTCCAATCTGGACAGAAATGTCACGAGCATTTTTTTTTAAACACTTGAACAGCTTACGGAGCAAGGAGAGAGGCTGCTTCCCGTCCTGGAGATGAAGCCCCTTTTCCAGGCAGGGGTGGCTCTTGGGCTAAGAGCCAAACAAACACAATTCCCATTACAATCCTGCATGAAGCAGGGCTTCACTCCAGAGGCTTCTTTTCAGGCCCAGACATGCGGGAGATTGGGGGGAAGGGCCTCCTACAGAGCCTTGAGGAACTGTGCAGGTGGAAAACCCCAGACAGCCTCCCACAGGAGGGCAGACAGGCAAAGAAACTTCAGCCAACCTGCTCATTAATAGTGCGTCATTTACTCTAGTCTAAGGTGCCTTCAAATTTAAGGTTACCCCCCCAATAATTAGATTCTAGACATGGAAAACTATACATTTGTTATAAATTTTCTGCATCTGGAATCTAAATTTGGGGGGGGGTCTCTTAAAAGTTGCCACCCCACCACTGCAGCAGGAAGACAGTAGCAGGGAAGCAGGCAATGGGAAAAGCAAAACCAGGGGGGCAGAAGGGGAGAAAGCCAAGGCAAGGGAGCAGGCAACCTACCCCTCATCTGTTGCCCCCCTGGTGACTATCATGCTACCATTTACCTGCTCCTGCTGCTTTCCCCTGTGACCCAAGCACAGGTGGAGCCCCAGAGCTCCTCTTGCCCCACGCTGCAGGAAGGAGCTGTGCTGGGAGCCTGGCTTGGCACCCCGTAGACCTCTCCTTCCCAGCCCTGCTCCCTTTCCCCCTCCCC